AACGAAAAAAAATTATATACTAGGTACTTTGAAATACAAAATGAAATTCATTCAGCATTGTACGATTTAATAAAACTTCATTTATTTTATTAAACTGTGTTTATGAATATGTATTTAGAATACTGCTCTCATTTCATGCTGATTTCATTGTAGAAAACGTGATGTCTGGGTAGTTGTGTTTTTGTACATACATGTGTCTGGGGTCATTCAAGCCGTGGGTAACAAGGAAGTGCGTCATTCTCATTCTTACTGAGAAATAAACGACAATCCACACATACAACAGAATATAACACATGACATCACATATTTATAGAGTAACCTGTGTATAACATTGCAGGATACATCCAGCAGTCAATATGACTTGACAGATTTTGCAAACCTCAGTACTCTTATGTATACATGTATACATTTCAGTATAATTTTTGTTAAACAACAATTGTGAAACAAGTTTTTCCAACTAATATTAACCACTCTTGTTGGCCCGAATAGAAGCATGCAAGGGGTCCTATTACAGGGAGAAACCGGCTGTACCCGGGGAAAACTCATGCAGTCTGGCAAGTGACCCCACACCTTTTCACATCCATTCCACGAATTGAACCAAGGATGGCTTGATGAAAGACAAGTGCGTTACCACTGCACCACCTATCCACCCCGATTATATCTCATTCATGTCATCAAATAACATCTTGTCATAAATAACTAACTTGAATGGCATGAAGCAGATTAATGCATGTCTTCAAATTGAACTATTTTTTTTTTAGAAATCTGTCCATGGAAATGAACATCAATATCTGCTTCATTTACAAATACCAAAGACTAAATCTACATTAGACATGTAACTCCGGTCTTGAACTATGTATAGTACTGGGTCCCTGTTCATAGAATTAAGTGGAAATAAAATTTTGAACTGTGAGATTAAAAAGTTTGTTTTCTCCTTTTTTTTTTAAACAAATAAGAAAAATAGGGACATATATGACCCTATTCAAATTAAGGAGAGATTTGATAACAAAATGATTCTGGAAAACTAGTGCTATGTGGTCAGTCTCGGCTCATGTCTATCAGGTCATGTTACATTAATTAAACTGTTGTGTGAAAACCTTTATAATGATCCCAAATTAATTTCTTTTACATAAAATGACCGACTTTCAAAATTATTTCATACTATCAACACAAAGAGACAGGAAAAACACAACAAATCAAGTACATCTGTAAAAGTAATGTTTTGTTTTTGTAAGTTCTTATGTGTGTAACTTAAACACTGTTATCTCCCCTTGCCCAACTCTCCTCTGACTTCTGATCACTTGAATTTCGATACACATCCTAGATATGCCAAAGTCATCAATATTAGCAGAAAGTTCACAGAGGCAATACCATGCTAAGGATTACTCTATCAAGTCTGCCATATCAAAAGTAACCAAGTACACAAATCTGAACTCCTACTAAAACATCCCCTTCTGGCTTTCAACGGATCACAGGCTACAACAGTTCTTTACATGTAACACAGTTGTTTTTAATTTCATCTCTAAATTTCGTTTATAAACAGCAAGTGGATGTGTGATATGGCAGACGTAGGGCTGAAGAAGCTTTTGTCTGTGTTTGTGGCTGGTGAGGCCGTGAGCTTGAGATACCCACACACCTTAAACATATCCGCCAGTCTTTGATAATCTTGCCATAACATGTGGGTAGCATTTCTCCTCAAACATAAAACCAGATCTTTCCTATCATCACAGACCCTTAGTACCATAAAGCATTTTTATCCTGGGTAAAGTTTTTGTATTCAATAATCCACAAGTGTTTAACGGAATTACAGATATCAAAATAGATAAAGTAACTTTGAAGGAATGCAACTTGTCATATCTCAAAATCAAGCACAGAGTTTCACTGAAAAATAACGTAATTTCTGTAAAGTTTTTTTTTTTGTCAAAATCACGTGAGAATGCTCAATGTATGATACAGGGTTTTCCATTGATACATCTATCTTAAGTTTTTATCTTTAGTTTGAGTGTATTTCTCTGACATTCTAGACACACCTATAACACATGTATTTTAACCTTTCCAATTTTGAGTAAAAATCTGAACACAACAGTACAATGCACTTTCCACTTTCAATTATAAATTGTAATATAACTTCATTTTTTTTTCACATTTTATTTAGATATAGGATCAGATGCTGTACTGATGAATATTAATTCCTTTTCAAAAAACGTAAAGACTGGACTTCATCACAAGGTAGTTAGAATTCACAAAGTGAGATTTTTTGCCAATTAAACAAAACTGACCTACAAAATACCACAAAATAGCTATTTTCTACAGTACTTGTGAATCCTCTGTCGACTTTGTATGCAAATTGTCAGTCAGTAAAAACATCTATCAATCATGTTTTGCTTACTTTTGTCAGCTACAGCTACATATGTACGATGTTACACTCTGTAGAAACATATACTGATCTGTAATATTCTCAAGCTTCTTGAATTACATTTCCAACATTTTTGGTAGGTAAACATAGGTTGAAAATAGTTCATGGACAATTAACTTCCTTAAAACCTGTGAATTTTATTTTTAAATTGAAGAACCATGGTTTTGTCAATAACCGAGTTGACAGTAGTGCCTACATATACTAACAACTGTCCGTGCTGACAAGACAGAATGACAGATATCAATAAATAAATCTCTGTTCTATCCATAAATGTGTCGTACTGAACTTCTAACCAGTTTATAACGCATGTGACACATATTCCTCATACATTTATGCCCTGCTCCTCTCAGGTGTAATTCAACACATATGTTTATATTCAGAATGGTTGGAGACCTACATCTGTAACTGGTAAAAATGAGGATGTGCTATAGAGATTGGATAAGTGGATTAGGGGTACAGGTGTACCCAAATACACACCCTTGTTATTAACATAGTGCTCTACTTTCATTTCACTAATAAGTGTAACATTTCCTGCACTTACTGAGTAATTACGACAAGCAGTAATCGTAAAGAACTTACCCTTTCCTATTAATGCAGTTATTCAAATGAATCAAACCAGGCCATACCTGTACATAGTGCTAACACATATTATTAAGGAAACATTATCATTTGTTATCTGTCACTTACTGCAGTACATTTGTATTATTGGTTAGACCCTACTTTCAATTTACTAATATATAACATTGGACTACTCTGTGCCCAAGAGACTGTTGGAGAAATAGGTATGTCAGTTAGAATTATAATAATTTCCAATAACGATATGTACAACTCCTAGATCCTAGATTTCATCTTGATCTTATCAGGAAAATGATGCAAACACTGAAAGGAAATTCCTTCCATTGTACTTAATTATTTAGCATGGTAAAATTGCTAAATGGAGTATGAAACCAGTACTACTCAAACAGCCATCTGGTTATAGTTGATTTCTATTGAAACAAGAGGTCACAAGGGCCTGGAGATTATTACACAGGCTATAGCTGTAGGGGCTAGAGAAAGCTCAGAGAGGGTTGGTACAGATCCATATGGTACTGACCACAGCCCTGGAGAGAAAACCAGAACACTTATGTATTTATACAGGAGTGTATTGAATTCTCCAGGGCAGGCCTTATTAATAAAACATCAGGACATCATAATGATCAATTTCCACCATTTACTGGACCAATTGTGGGCTGTCAGTCAGGTGGAGGGACTAAATGGCTAGAACCTCCAGCCTAGCAGTACATAGATGCAGGACTGCTTTTCATCATATATGTAGAGATTAATAAGTGACCATGTGGTGAACAAGGGCCTCTAATCTTGCACGGGAATGAGAGGCACATTATCATGTCATCATGTACATATTGTTACAGAGGGAACAGCTCTGTATTGGTATACAGTCTGTGTACAATAATATACAGGACACCATCGGGACAGGAGGGAGGGGGGGGGGGAAGGGAGGAAAGGTCCTGGTATTTTACTGATAGACAACATGCACATAATCTAGACAGCTAAAGCATGCAAGGGAAATCATACACCTACATACATACATCCTAGCTGATATATTACTCTCAAGTATGAGACAAGGAGAGGAGGGGGGACCTACAACATTAGCACAAAACAGGTATAGCACCTGCTAATGAGTATTTACCACCACAAATTTATACATAATTAATGTGTTTGTCAAACATACACCATCCTGCCAACCACCAATTAAAACCCTTCTTTCCAATTATCTACCAATCCAGAAAAGATCTACTGAGATTTACCTCCCATGGAAATTCAAAGGATAATTCCTGAAAATTCAATATTATTTGTACATACTTAAAAATATTCTGTTGCTTGAAATTATCTGTTGCTTGAAATTAATCAATTTTTTCATAAAATATCTAGTTCCAGTGAATAGATGTTTTTGCTTCTTCTAAAACTAAAAAATCCATAGAAAAATTGTCAACCTTAAATTTGTTTTCCAACTAGACCAATGACCTTTGAGAATACTATCCTGCTGAATACCTTTAACTTTTGAAGCTCTATCACACCTACATACTGAAACCACTCTATGTCAGTGTTGTAATCACAATCCCAAACCATTAAACATTGGCAAGCCCTGTTCATAAACATACAGGTTAAGATAAACTAAACTATATAGCTTCAGGTTGTTCTGAACCACATCTCTGCCTACCTATCTAGGATAAACAACAATTTCTAAGTAAGCTAATTCCACTAAGGTATACCTGTACATCATAGCCCCAAGGGTTTTTTCACACTACACAATGCAGTAAAATGCAGTACCATAATTAAAGACGGAGCCTTTATCATCTTTATATTGAGGGTCAATTGAAAAAAAAAAGTTGATTATAAAATGATGACATCCTTAGGCTTGCCATTTCACAAAATAAGATATGTTGCTAATTAAATGTCCATTTATTTCATAGAAACTGATAAATATGCAACAGTTACTTAATTAAGACCACCACTTAAAAAATGCATGGACAATCTTCTAAAACATTGGCGAACTTCTCCAAATACATCTAGAATCTTAACTTACCGTGTAGGTTTTAGTCTCAAACATCTTGACGAGGTGCCGTACAGAGTTCCTGGACCCTGTTCGTACCAGGGCCACCAAGCTGTGTTCCCGCTTTCGGGGAATATTTTCCTTAGGGGTTGTTGACTTAACATCTTGAGACTTAGATCTGCGGACACGGAATCGAGAGCGAGATCTACTCCGTCCTTCTCGACCTCCAGATTCTGGACTATCCGGAAGGTCCTCTGCAAATCCCACCTTCTTTTTGCCTTTGCTCGGCATTTTATCCTTCATCCAGGCAGTGTGATTTTACCACTTAATAATCCCAGGCAAAACTACAGCAGAATCATATTGGGGTCCTCATCATTCCTAAATAGGTTTTAAACAGAACTGCTGTCGTGCTTTCATTGTACAAGCTATGCTGATTGCAATCATAATGTTACAAGTGCAAAAGACTGTCATACAATAGTCTTATTGTCAAGATAACAAACATCCTGATCACACGCCCCTCATAAAAGGCAGTATTACTCAAGTCGTCATGAATGAAAAAGACCACACTTCCCCGTCATGAACCGGTGAATTGTAGTTAAGCATAGGCATAAGTTTGGAATGTCAGATTTGTGACAGTCCACTTGATTTTTGGAAGCACAAGGTATGACTTCATCCCGTTATAAGTATACACAAGTCTATGGACACAAGGACGTCATAATCTCTTACAACTTCCTCCTTCAGAAGAAAAGCATACACATTTATTTATAACCTGCTTAAGAGATTTCATATTTAAATTTTCGCCGAAAATATCATCAAAAATGAATGTTTCTTTTGTTCCTGACACATTCATAAAGAATTTCTTTTGTTTGCGTATTAGCGACTATCAAATTTCACTAAATCAGTAATAAGTTTAAATAAATACTTGACCATTTCCATATAAGCATGTGTGATCAAAGTTAAAATTACTTCTGGCTTATATTAACTTGTCACGAACATTAAATTGCCTTTCGTGGACCGGATATATGAAACTTCTGTATTGAAAGGACCTATTTCCTGCACACATTTACAATATTACATATATATTTGTGGATACAACATCTATACCTTACAACAAGAACCTGACATTTGCGAACTATGAATAATTAAAGGGAAAAAAGACCAAAAAATTCATGTATGATTCTGCATAAATAGTACATATCTAGTATACTAACAGCAAAATTTGAATAGAACCCTTGAAAAAAACTGTGACAACATTACACAAGCTATTTCAAGGCCAGATTCCAGTCATAATTTCTACATAGAAGTACATACAACAGACAGAAAGATAGCAATCTCTCACATTGTCAAGATTGTAGATCATGAATAGATCCCTCCACCCAGCACATATTCTGAGTAACCTAATATATAATTACTTGTAGAAGCTAGGACAAAACTTGATCTTATTTGTTCTCCAATAAGGTGTGAATCTGATAATTAACGAGATACAACACCTGAGTAGCTTATCACGACAAGCAGAATTAACCGTTGTCAGACTCATGCAGATCTAGAGTACAGTACCCTTTTAAGCTTCCATGTGCTTAGGGAATTGAATTCTATTTTCCAGCAGAGGCTTAAAATCGAAGAGTACATTAAATTAATTACCAACAAAAATCTAATGAAATCCTCCATGAAAACACAATAGATAGACTGTCTGTCCCTTACTCCTCTCACATCGATAAATCACACAAAGTGTTAAATCTTACAGTCCTTACCACAGTTTGATTACATTCCAATCCAATCTGTCCATACATTGGATTCTTACCTGAGAACAAACCCCTCTATCCTGGGGGAATTACCTGGTAGACAGGTAGGTTATCATACTAGTATTGACCTGAGAGGAGTAGAAGTCCGTGGTGTGTATGTGTATGCCGCTCCAGCAATCATCCACACCGCCAACACTCAAACATGCCATTCATCTCCATTGGCAAACAAATCATCTGTGACACTTCTTCAAACACGCATATCTGGTCAATGAATGTAGAAAATCCTCTCCAATCCTATTTGTCTTAGCGTGTACAGGTAAATTATAAACATCTACGTAACACTCTATTCTACACCATAAAGAATTAATTACCTGGAATCCTTGAAAAAATCAATATACCATTCAAATGGTGATCCGTCCTCGTCTCCAAAGCATTCCAAAGTATTAAGTTCAATATGATTTAAATTCTAAATGGTTCACACCAATATAAATACCTGTGTGTGTGTCACAGGCTTATAAATATAACTAAAGTCACATATTTCTCATGGTCCATTGTACTTGAGCTATCTCATTCAGGTATCCAACACGTTTTATTGTGAGATCCTGTTAGGATGTGAAATTGTTAGGTTATAGCCCAGAGTTTACAGGCTACCTGTTAAAATCACTCAAAAAAATATGTATTTTCTCAACTGCCTGGAGCATGTCTATTACACAGCCATGGCAAAAACACTTAAATTCCTCACCACTCAATACTTCATCTATAAGCAAAACAATGTGTCCGTGCTTGGAATTGTCATATAACTTCCATGCTTATTCCTTACATCACTGTCGCTGTATCTCTGTCGGCACCTCCACTACTTCAATTATCACTGCTGCTATGACATAATTTCCAGTCAACTCCTCGACTTCATCACGAAAACACGATTATTTCATTTCTCTTGTTTAACTGAACACATATCAGTTGGCCTTGTTAGATGATTTACATTGAAGAGCTACCCTTCACCAACCCGAAACTTCAGTCAGGTATGCTGGAGGTAAACCCTCCTCTACCTACAGCTCCCCACACTGTGTAAAGAGCCAGCTACACACAAATCTCCACATCTCCACTCTTTCTCAGTACATGTGAGATATCATCACCTTGTCAGCTGATTCCTCCCCTACACCAGTCTATCACTTGTCCAGAAGTCTGACAGTTTGATCATACTTCCCTTTATTCTCGGCACAATACACTATAAAATATATACATCAAGCTTATCTGACCTCCTGTAGAAGTTTGAACCTGTAATTTTTTTTCTGTTTACAAACGGAAAGTATGAAGCCACAGTAACTACCCTTCCTTCCTAAGGCTAGGAAAGTGTGAGGTTCACTCAGATTTACTGTCAGTCAAAAGAGCCACCTTGTATTATTTTCCGGTACATTCCATGAGATGGTACCAGTAGGGAGGATACCTGATCCAGTCTGTACATATCACTGATACCTTTGACAGTACTATTCCTCGGCAGTGTCACTCCGCCCCCAGCCTCAGAACCACTCTATATTTAATTAGACCAACTCCTGACAATGGCGAGCGTGAGTTTGATATATTACGACCAATCAATGTCCCCTTGTGTCTCATGTAACTAAAGATCAGTTCACCTAATTGTATAAAGCCTGATGAAGGCTCCTGCATGCCTTCTGTGGTAAAATCACCATTCCAATACTCAACAGTCTTTAACTAAAGAATGCCTGTAAATGATTGTAATATATCGCCAGTCAACAAACACACGTCATCCGTCAAAAAATATTCTGTTCTCCTTTAATCAGTAAAATACCAGTAATACATCTATGTGTGTATTGCATATTACATATATAAATATTGGTATAAATACATCTATATGCATATTGTATATTATATATACCGATATTGGCATAGATTATAAAGATTATTGTATACATATACGTATATATACATATATCGACAAGATATATTCATTACTTTGTGATTTCAATGATATGTGGAATTTCATCAAATCAATAATTTATTTACACAGAGACGTGTTGTCTGAATACTAGCAGGTGTATTATTCGACAACAACAAACACCTTTAAAAGCTTCTGTAATTCATATTGCATCTATTGTATCTTGTACCTGAAAATTGAATTCTAGATTCTAAAAGTCAATAGAATAAATACCTGTTTCAAATGGCATATAGTAAAACTATTAATTTTCCATTTACAGAAAATTTAAAGCATATGAGATTTCACAATTTCTATAACATGTGAAAAAAAACAAATGAAAAACAAGTCTGTGAATATCCGATTTTTCTATGTTACAAAAGGTTGATTTTCAAGCTAATAAATCAATAGATATTTCTATGTTATATATAAAAAAGGATGACAGGTGGCTGGTAACATAAAACTGATCTGGAAGTATAGCATGTGTTAAGTAAAATGATCCTCCGGACTACAGCTACATATCAATATAACCATACATTTAGTGCATGTCATCAATGAGTACACACAACATGCACAGGCCTGGTCCTAATTACTGATATTCTCAAATTCAACACGATTTCACTCAAGTTCATTTACCATGACAACATATGTGGTTTCTTGTGCTTCAGAGATTTTTTTTTTTTTTTTAATTTAAGTTCTATGGAAATATGAAATAGTGCCTAAGTGTAATCAGTGCTGACTACAATGCTGGTTGTGTAATACCAGTTCTCGTGATGTTGAGTTTTCTGTACAAATTAATGTTCTATCTGCCTCCAAATATAAACTAAAAAAGGTGAAAAATAGTTATCTGCCCTTTGATGATTTGCCGATAGCATGTACATTGAAGTACATTTTATCATCTGTGCTATACTGTAAATATAATATGCAGAGTTATCTGCCCTTTATATTCTGTGTCTAAGTCTTGTTTGACCAGTTGACCTTTACAAGTCAAATCAATAAGTGAGCAGGACAGTCCCTACCACATGAAATGTCACTGGTCACTGAGAAATGGCTCTGGTGTGGGATGGATTTTGTTCCCCGAGGACAAATTGACAGCTACAAGTAAATGACAGAAAGTGACCTTTGCATAAAGGTCAAATCATCCAGAGCTAAAGACAGTTGTCCCGTTGCATTATTTGTCATTCATCATCACATGAATCCAACATATTGAGAATGTTCCATTCATGAAATAAAATGTAAAGGAATGTTTTGACAGACCTAATCTCCAAGGGATATATAGAGGTTTGATATACAAATATATCTTATGGCTAGTGTATATATAGCTAGAATCTATATATCAGTTATTTCATATGTAGGTATCAAGGTGAGTTTATCTTGTATGACGAAAACCACAGAACACCCTATCTCTATGAATCCATATCTTCCTGAACAGAAACCAAAAATTCTGAAGTTATCTCACTGCCAAAAACTAAAACCTCGTCCATTTTAATGGTATCCTGTTCATCATTTAAGAATCACCTTTCAGACGACCTGTTACAGGGTTTCGCCCAGGTTTCCAGGTCACCGGAGGGTTATTATTATATACAACATCCTCCCTTTATTACTAGTCTGACTCCATTAGACTAGCAGCAGGGCCTTTTGGGTAAACACTTTGGAGCCTGTGGTATATACAACAGGTCCTTTCCCCCAATAGACACCACAAGATATTGCTTTACACTGGGAGTTAGCTGTTATTATCATACATATATAGTAATGTTTTCTTAGCAAAATTACAAGAAAGAAAAGTTTGTACAAAATAACACTAAGCCAGATTTAAAAGAATGACAAGACACAAATATGCAAGGCACAATTAGTCCTAAAAATTCAATTAACACTGACTATGAAATACAGAACTTATATATCAGAGCACAAAAGTTTAAATACTGTATTAATCTAAAATGAACATCAACCAATATTTCAAAACACTACCTCAATAAAATACCAAGGTACATTGATGGGACAGTCAATGTCATTTGAAGAAATTTATGAAACATGAAATGGAGTAAGTGTAATGACTTATATGTAGAAAGATTTGTCAAGCATATCAGACAGGGTCCTTTCAAGGTTGAGATAATAAACTCTAGTTTAAGGAAGAAAGACATTAGTATCCCTAAGATAATACATGTATATACCTGGAGAGGGTCAATGAGTACTAAGCAAAACTCAAAAAGAAATCCTTTGTTTTCTCCATATTTATTTTAATTTTACATAGAGTGGTCCAGCCTACTTATGACACTGGCTAAAAATTAACTAAAAATTGTCCCTTGCTTAAAACTCTCAGGCTTTTCCATGTAAAATAATGTAATTTGGATTGTTTAAACTAATACAAGCGAAAACATCAGGACCAGACATGTTAAAGTCAGTTCTGACTACGAACCAATTCTCATGGCCATTTCAAACAGGATATCTATATATATATATCAACTATTCCTTTCTTTATATGAAATAAGGCATAACAGAACAATTTCTTCTTTATATAATAAAATTACAATTGTCAGAGGAATTTCAAGACAGGCATCACTGACATTCAATCTAGCATTCTATCTCATTATCCAATGTTCTAGCACCTGTGTCACAATAACCTCTCACATTCCCATGCACCAATCAAATGGGGACCCTATTCCCCTTCATAAACACTTAACAAGAGAGGTATGAATTCTGTTTAGAATAAATATTAGATCATCTTCCTTCCTCTTTGTGTGACATATTGTGACAAGAGAGGAGATCAGTGGAAGTATAACATAATGGGCTCAATTGTAATTTTTGCCCTGAAGTAGGGAACCACCAAACAGGATCTGATACATCCTGTTTAGCTAGTACAGAAGGGATTGAGTGACTGTGGTTGTTGTATAACTTAATACATGTCAATATTTAGAACATAATTAAAATATAGGGGTTCATTTTTAAATACTTTAACACAAATGTCCTGTAAAATGTATGAAACAAATAGAAAAAACAAAATTCTTATGTCTTTCTCCAAAAGACAAGAACCACCTCATAGAAGTTATCAGATTGCTCGAACCATATACAAATTATTTTAAAAATTTCAGTATGTATCAAGAATTACTACTTTTCTTCATAAAACAGACAGAAAAGGCACTTGTAGATTTTAGATTTATATTTAAAATGGGTGAGTAAAAGACTGCTTTCCAATGATATCCATACATTTCAAACATAAAGAGGGTTAAATGCTTTCCTGATTTTATCTTCAAAGGGAGGTAATCATCTTCATCTTAGCATTCTGATTACATGGTTAGAACATTGACATGGAAGTTGAAGAACCTGCTTTTCCAGGCAATGACTAATTAAGTGACTGAAGGCTCGTCCATCATTAACCATTAGGCACTCAACCAAATATGGAGTCAGTTCTAAATGGGCACCCAAATCAATTACTCCATAACACTGCCAAATGTGCCCTTGCATTATTTAAACACAACAGACCAACCCTAATATCAACAGAGCCAGAGAAAATCAATTCATGTCAACTTGAATTTGACATCAGATTTCATACAAATGAAATTCAAAAAATAAATCAGCTAAATTTTGTCTAAAAGATCAATCACAGAAAAAAAAATCCAAATTCCATCACCGTTTAAATAATACTTTTCATTGGTCATTGAAAGCACAAGTCCTTGTTCATGTACACTAATTTACCACAATCAAATTGTATGCAATTATTCATTTCACATTCAACAAAACCCGATTTTAAAGCAGCAGCTGCAAATGTTTTATTTTTCTACTCCTAGCAATGAAACCAGAATATAGTTTGGCTAATTCCTCAAGCTACTGAAACAGGTACATTGCTAACATGTGCACAGAAATATCACAAATTCTCTGTTCACTTAAAACAAGCACATTTATTTTTCAATTTTTTATCCCCCCGCCCCCTCCATTATCTAACATGTTTCCAACCTTTCTCCCTCCATTATCTAGCATGCACCCCCCTCCCCCACCTTAATCTAGCATGTTTACCTAAAATATCTACGGATTAAATTTGTCTTGTCCTGTAATAAGGTTATATGGCGATGGGAAGATGTGGTGATACCTATGTTATATTTATATATCCTGTAGTCCCCCAACATCCCCACCTGTTCTGTGATAGCATGTGA